ATATATCTGATAAAGCACTCCTGCTCGTGTTTATATAGTAGGCTACATATACACATTTTATACCTAACCAGCTAGGAACGTTACGACACTATAGACCTTATTCATAAATCGTGATCGAGGCTCGTATCCTAGGAAACGGGAACAAAACGCGGGAAAATTGACAAAATGTTTTTTTTGCTGTCGGCTATGGCAGCTTTTTTTCGTGAATATTACGGCTTTTTTCGAAAATATATCTATAAAACTGAGCTTGAAAGTTGAAAAAAATACTTCTGAGAAAATATAACATGATATTTAAAGCAAAAGATGCTGGAGTCAATCGAAAAAGGAAACCTTTGACTTTGTATTATTGTCGTAGTTTGTATGGCCGAAACAAACAACCAACAAGGCTACAAAACGTCTATACAACACCAAAATCGTAAGAAATATGAAACAATTGTTGAAGAAATAAGATTACAACTCACTCAGGTAATGTAGCCTTCATTTTTTAAACTTGTAAGCTGCTTGCAGAATGTTATCGAGCCACAGTCATAGTTCATATTTTTCCGTACGAATCAATAACATTTGACGTTCTCTTGTGATTTTTGACTGTTATTTTCTTTCATATTTATGTCAAATTCGAAAAATTATACTTCCATTCCATAGTTGTCTTGATTCTTCACGGAATAAACCTTTATATTGACGTTAAAATCTCAGTAAAATACTGTTTTTCGCTTCTGGATAAACACCATCGCTACGTTGTCATTTTTTTCCACACAAAAACAGGAGAAAAACCGGTCGCTTTAATAATATACTCGTTTACCGCTTTCGTTGTGGGCACAAAGTCTTAAAATACACACAAAAATCGTTATAAATCGCAAAAAGCAACAAGAAACAAGCCGTTAAAGTCGACACAAAAGCATCTGAATTTGGCTTGTCAAGCAGTTTTCGCTTGTTTTCCCGCGTTTTGTTCCCGTATCCTAGGATACGAGGCCTCGTCACGATTTATGAATAAGGTCTATGATTTTTGGAGAAAGAGAGATTTGCTTGGCAGGTTGTTGGCTGGTCTTGGAGTCTGTTCAGGATGGATATGATAGTGAAAGAGGTGATCAAGGTGATAGGGCAGAAAGTGATGACGAGTTAAGTGATGAGGAGGCTGTACCATTCTAGTGCATCGGTGCTGCTCATGACAACCACTACCAACATCATTTGGAAAAGGCATACCTCACTCTTCATGAACAAGATAAACCAATGAATGTAAGAATACGACCAGAGCCATTGAATCCAAGGGACCCAAGTGCAATATCAATTGATCTAGACTATGGAACTGGATGGCCCCATGTTGGTTATATATATTGCTTCTGAACTATGCAAGTACCCGCACCCACTAATTTCTGCAAGAGATTTCGTGGATGTCTATGTTTAGATATCAAGTACAGGGTTGACATTTTAAAATAGGATTTTATCCAAAAAATTTCATAGAGACTTGGTGAGTGGGAGACTCGAGTGCATGGTAGGAAAAGCATGAGTGTATAGGTTGACAGATGTTTTAATATAAATAATAGCAACTAACTATGTTTTATAGCAAGTTGTTGAAGTGCATTTATTTCAATTGGCTAACTTTTACATTTCCAGCATTTTTTAATGGGTTATAAATAAATGATAACTTTCTATATGAATCTAATTAAAACAATCTGTCATGTACACTCATGCAAATAAGTACATAACTGTAAAAATGTGCTTTAGTAAAATAAAATAGATGAATAATTTATCCATGCATTTGACCTACTCTGTGAGTAATTCTTTCAGATTAAAATTAATACAACAATAAAACAAGTAGATGTCTATTTTATATATAAATATTTATTAAATGTCAATAAATTGACCACAATAACATGCCTATATACTTCATAATTTGCTATATGATAAATGATAATACAATAAAGACTTGTTTTCTTGTTTTAAAACAAGTGGAGATCTCTGCTGGTTTGAAATGGGCTGTTATAACAATGAACTGTCCATGCTGAGGATTTCGCAGCTCGATTTGCAACAAAATCAGGCGATCAGCTCGTATGGGAATATGTACACGATCCAGTCGCGTCGGCCAAAGACAAAAAGACTTTGAAAATCGCACAGATATAAATCGTACAAAAATATTGAAACAACTCCTAAGTCTTCTAAATAATATTTTAACACTTTAACAAAAATTCATTGAAAATATAATCTTTGATGCCGCAAATTCTTTCCAAGGTATTGGACGCCATTTTAGCGAACGTCGAGTTGACACTAGTCGCTTCAATGGCCAATATCTCGAAAACTACCGGGGGATCACCGGGATCATTCCAGCAGATTTAAAGCTTATACTTTTTTCTTGATGACTGCCAAAAATTCTAGATATTTGATTTTAAACATTGTAAACATATTTAGACTTGACTCAACACGTCGCGGGGAGTCGACTAACTTCAAACATCAAAATAACATTGAAAATAACGTTTACCTCAGAGATTTTTGCAGATATCACCAGATCTTTAGCAGTAGTACTACTACACTTGAAATTTTGCAAGAAAATTTTAGTATTAATATTTTTTCTCGATTTATTTTCCGTCGAATGCAAATTTTTCTGTCCAAATTCTGTAGATAACACGATGGAAAATAGCGCGATCTCATTGGTCGAGAGCTCACGTGACAACTCGCTAATTGCTTGTCCGACCTCCTCTGGTAGCAACCGGTGTACGGAGTTCCTTATTTGGTCAAGTATGTAGTGCGTGGCACGCGCGTGCGAGTAAAACCCGATATTTTTTAAGAAAATTGAAATAAATCTTTTTACTCCCGTATTCAAACAAAATTTTCTACACGAAAGCGCCTGAATACAAGGAGTACTTTACGTATATAGCCTTTGAGAAAAAGACAAAAAGTTTAGAAGATATTCAACTCTTTCTCGATATGAAATATGGAATGTTTGGCCTAGCGGTAAGTATAAACACATGATTGTGTAATCTTTTGACGGAAGGATATTTTGGAAGGATATTTTGTGAGGATTTCAATGCTATTGTTTTCGTTTAAAATGGGGGTAAAAACTCGCCGAGATATTTACATTGGAAAAATGGAATCGTATACGGTAATGGAATACGGTTTGCCGCGAAACTAACCGTGCAGTTAGACATCGTATTTCAGCACAATTCGGAGTTATAACTTGATATACATCATGCTATTTCTGGAAATAAAATGCACAAATATGCTTGCAGGCGCAAAATTTCTTTGTACTGTTGAACGTGCATGTTCTGTTCCTGCTAATTCTATATATTAAACAACTTTATACGGTAGTTTGGCGCGAATATCTACCTCTGGTTACACGTAATGCTGAAAAGTTAACTTTCATTCTCCCTCATGTTATCCGCCGTCCGAATGAAAATCATTTTCCTTTTAATCCGGCATTCTTACTATTGAACTACAGACAAGCATAATAACTCATTATTATAGGCTAGGCTTGTATTGGCAAACAAGCTCCCACACTTGAGATTGTTTTTTATTTATACACAATATTCTTTCCATAATTTTTGTGGCTAGCCCGTTCGCGGGCTAGCCACTGTCATATACACAAAAGCGTTGATGTCTGTCCGGATTTTCGTAAAATAGCGTAGCCCAAAGTGGCTCCGACATCTTGGCGATCTTTTGTATATCGTCGGAAACCACTCGGAGGCAACGCCATTAATTTGCATTTGCGAGTTTGTAAAATATAAATTTATATAAGTTTGCAGAATATTAAAAAATGAAACAAATGGCGTTGGCTTTTGCACGAGATTGTTGACGCCTTGCTCGTTGAGATATAAAATAAATAGAAAGGTATAATTAACAGTGACTATCGGTCCACTAATATCTTTATTGTACTGTGATACGCTACTTATATACTGACTGGCCCTAATGCTCACAGGAGCATGACGTTCCGCGTCATGCCTGTAAACAATAGGAAAATATAAAACCATCGACAGTGTCGATGGTTTGTTAACTTTTCAGCATTACGTGTAACCAGAGGTAGATATTCGCGCCAAAATACCGTATAAAGTTATTTAATACATATAATTAGCAGGAGCAGAACATGCACGTTCAATTTTGCTAATGCCCTTTTTATGCTTCTCTTGCGGGTTTATCTGGTTAAATTAACATGTAGTCTTCATCAGGATTTTTCGTGGTTTAAACATTACAAATAGACCAAAAACTAATACTTTTAGCATCATTTGGAAGCTTAAAATTTTATATTGACACGAATATGCGTTGTGGACTTCTAAGCCGCCGGCAGCTAATTACGTATATATAACAGGGAAAACCTCCATTTATAACAGACAAACGTGGAAATAAATTTGAATAAAATAGTCCGAAATTATAGGAAGATACATTCAAATAACTTTTCACATTAAATTTCCCACCTCTCCCCCATCCAGTGATGCCATTATTTCCCCTCACTTAACAGTGATGCAATAACCTTGTGTTGGGGAATAAGGAGGGGGAATCTACGATCACAGAGGCAAATGGAAATTTTACTGACAAATTATGCCCACGTAGTATTGTAGTACGAAAGCACAAGTACCTTTTTCGAACACATGGTACTAACTTCAAGACGAAACCCTTTGCTCAAAATTTTAAGTTTCTTTTTCCAATTTTCAGAGAACGAATTATCTGCACAAGCTAGCTGTTTGTATTCACGGCTATAACAATGGCCTCCAACATTCAAGGTAAAATGTCAAATTATATAATTAAGCCCGTAGATTTATCATAAATGCAAAGAAGGATGTCGCGATAATATCCACCTAACCTACTACTAATATCTTTGTTTCAGAACTATCAACAAAAAGGGATAAAGTACTATTTCAAATCGCGAATCGCCAGTAATATAAAAATACAGTTATATTTTGGGTGATGCTCATGGTAGATTAGAAGAGATTAGAAAGGCCATCGACCATTACAACATTTTTAGAAATTTGCACTCAAACTGCTAATAGGTCGGGATGATAAGAAGCAATAGTTCGATGGGTGATACCTACCATGCTTCAGGAGAATATCATAAGGCCATTGACTATCACAAAAAAGATCTAGAAATAAGCACTGGTATTGGGGATCGATCAGGAATAGCAAGAAGCAATCGCAATTTGGGGAATGCCTATGCTAGTTTAGGAGAATATCAGAAGGCCATTGACTATCACAAAAAAGATCTGGAAGTAAGCACTGCTATTGGCGATCAGTCAGGAATAGCAAGAAGCAATGGCAATTTAGGCAATGCCTATGATAGTTTAGGAGAATATCAGAAGGCTATTGACTATCACGAAAAAGATCTAGAAATAAGCACTGCTATTGGCGATCGATCAGGAAAAGCAGGCAGCAATGCCAATTTGGGCAATGTTTATCATATTTTAGGAGAATATCAGAAGGCCATTGACTATCACAAAAAAGATCTAGAAATAAGCACTGCTATTGGCGATCGATCAGGAATAGCAAGAAGCAATGCCAATTTGGGAAGTGCCTATCATAGATTAGGAGAATATCAGAAGGCCATTGACTATCACAAAAAAGATCTAGAAATAAGCACTGCTATTGGCGATCGATCAGGAATAGCAAAAACCAATGGCAATTTGGGCAAAGTCTATGATAGTTTAGGAGAATATCAGAATGCCGTTGAATATCACAAAAAAGATCTAGAAATAAGCACTGCTATTGGCGATCGACCAGGAATAGCAAGAAGCAATGGCAATTTGGGCAATGCCTATGATAGTTTAGGAGAATATCAGAAGGCCATTGAGCATCACAAAAAAGATCTAGAAATAAGCAACGCTATTGGCGATCCATCAGAAATAGCAAAAACCAATGGAAATTTGGGCAATGTCTATGATAGTTTAGGAGAATATCAGAAGGCCATTGACTATCACAAAAAAGATCTAGAAATAAGTACTGCTATTGGCGATCGATCAGGGATAGCACGAAGCAATTGCAATTTGGGCAATGCCTATGAAAGTTTAGGAGAATATCAGAAGGCCATTGACTATTACAAAAAAGATCTAGAATTAAGCACTGCTATTGGCGATCGGTCAGGAATAGCAAGAAGCAATGGCAATTTGGGAAATGCCTATCATAGTTTAGGAGAATATCAGATGGCCACTGACTACAACAAAAAAAGTCTAAAAATAAGCACTGCTATTGGTGATGGGTCTGGAATAGCAAGAAGCAATGCCAATCTCGGCAATGCCTATGATAGTGTAGGAGAATATCAGAAAGCCATTGACTATCACAAAAAAGATCTTGAAATAAGCACTGCTATTGGCGATCGATCAGGAATAGCAAGAAGCAATGGCAATTTGGGCAATGCCTATCATAGTTTAGGAGAATATCAGAAGGCCATTGACTATCACAAGAAAAATCTGGAAATAAGCACTGCTATTGGCGATCTATCAGGAATAGCAAGAAGCAATGGAAATTTGGCCAATGCCTATGATAGTTTAGGAGAATATCAGAAGGCCATTGACTATTACGAAAAAGATCTAGAAATAAGCACTGCTATTGGCGATCGATCAGGAATAGCAATTTGCCGCGGCAATTTAGGAATTTCCCATCGATGTTTAGGAGAGTATGAAGTTGCAACATTTCACTTAATAGAATCAATTAGTTTTTTTGATGAAATGTTTTTAGAGTCTGTTCCAGAACAAAATCAACTGACATTCGTGAAGCAATATTTCATAAGTCATACAATTTTAATGAGTTGTTTTCTTTTGTTGGAGCGTGCGGAGTCCGCATTATTAGTCATTGACCTTGGTAGGTCTAAAGAGCTCCATTGCTGTATTGAGAAACGTAGGAATTCTGTTGATAAGGACTTGTTCGATTATGCCCGTGCGATATGGAATAGAATTGAAGCCAGAGAAGAACAAATAGAAATAGAAGGATTGCAAACTCTTCTCCACCTAGGAAAAAATGATACATCAATTTTAGTATTCGCTTTTGATTGGGAAGGTTTTCTTAATACTTGGGTTTTAGCTGAGAAAGTTATCTTCAGAAAAGTATTAGACTCTCGTCGGGAAACATTTTATCTGCTTATTATGGAACTTCTTGGAAGGGTAAATGTTAAGGTTGATCGAAATTCTTCGTTTTACATACTCGATTCAGTTGCTAACACTAATAATCAAGTGATGTCTCTATTTGAGTTCCCAAGCGCAATGCCTGCCTCTAAAAATGCGGTTGTGAATCCTGCTAGTTATAATGATTTCTCTGATCAAAACATTTTGGAAATGTTGTTTAAACTTTTAGTTGATCCTGTAATAGATATTGTTAAAGGTAATAAGCTAATTATTATCCCTGACCCGCTGTTGTTTTTTGCACCATTTTCAGCACTGATTGATGAAAATGGCTCATATTTATCGAACGGTTACAGTGTTCAAATTTCGCCTTCATTGCATACTCTTAAGTGTACGATGGAACAATCCTTTGACTCAAACTTTGGATTTGCATTGTTTGTGGGTAATCCAACTGTGGGCAAAGTTAGTTTAAACGGAAAAGATGTTACACCGGCTGACCTGCCTAATGCCGCTGAAGAAGTAAAATGTCTCTCAAAGTTTTTCAAAGCAAGGCCTTTATTAGGACGCGAGGCAACAAAACAGGTAGTATTGCAGCTTTTAACTGGTGCTAGTATAATCCATATAGCTGCCCATGGAGAACCCACTCGAGGTGAAATAATGCTTGCTTCAAATTCTTCTCTTACTGGACAGTGCTCGTCTGTTGGTAAACCAGAATCATACCTTCTCACGCAGGGAGATATTCTAAATATTTCTGTACAAGCCCGTTTGGTAGTTTTATGTTGTTGCCACAGTGGGCAAGGTGAAATTACTTCAGAAGGTGTCGTAGGTATAACTCGAGCGTTTCTTGCAGCTGGGGCACGCTGTGTTCTTGCCACACTGTGGCCTATTAGCGATTATGCCACAAAGGAATTCATGGAGAAACTTTATGGTGAACTTTGCCAAGAAACACCAGTTTGTGAAGCTTTACGAAGAACAATGAACTTCTTTCAGACACATGGAAAAGAGGAATACCGATCCAGTTGGATCTGGGCTCCTTTTACCATCTATGGGGAGGATGTGAAGTTTGGAAAAGATGAGATTGAAAAAATTAGGGAAAAATCGCATGGGTTTTTTTCCGGTTTCGTCGTGGTATGATCCTAAAGTTTGTGAGTAGCGTTTTCATTAACAATGGTTGAAATCTTCAGCAGGCAACACCGGAATCGTTTAAACGTCGTCGACGTCTAATTCGTAAGCATGACTTAAAATTGTATTACCATGCGGTAGTATGGAACATTTTAGGCTGAGCATTCTGTTATTATATGTTGCTAGTGCTGCCTCGACTGTTCAGAATGGTTAAAATGTAGCTAGGTATAGCAATTGTTGTTTTGATAGTTGTTTTGGAGGAAATATAATTGACTTTCTTCAGGAAAACGGCTGGTTTGATTGAGTTACGTGGCTGTTGATCAAATGTTTTAGTTCATGGTGTGCTTGACAATGGGCAGATAATATTCTATGATAAAACTAATGTCAAACTATTAACGTTGTTGGTTGACAGAAAAGTTTTGTTTCCGTTGGTGGAAGAGGGGTTTAATGACATTAAAGTCGCCAACTTGCTATAGTTGGTACGTGCTTGCGAAAAAATAGTACCAAAAATAGTACTTAATCATAGGTTTCAAATATGGCAAAGGAGCAAAAACAAAAAATTTACATATTTCATGAATGATTTAAAATTAAGCAATTTTTTGCACATAAAAACAAACTAATATGGATTGCTAAAGTAAACTATCAAAGAATTGCAAATTTTCAAAATTCACAAATGGCAAAAGGCAAATTAAAAACATAATCATCTATCAAATATGGTCAAAACAACAAAAGCAAATTTAAATCAGGGAAAAGAAAGGTAAATTCGCCTATCGTAAAACCTACAATGTCTTTCAACTTACTTGTGTTGCCTCTTTTTCTTTATAAATGTCTTCATTTCTTTAACAATTTAGATTTTTGAACGTATAAAACAATGTATAATAGCTTCGCGGTCGTGCGATTTTGTAATCACGCGTTTGATTTCAGTCCGAATTGCACTCCACTCCGTTCAATTACCATTATAAATATCGTTGTTAAATGGCGATATTTAGTAAGATTTGATTATCAACCTATACCATAGTCGCCTGACGCCATGTTTCAGTTCAAATTTTAATTCGAAAATGAGATTATTGTACTAGTTGAATAATATACAACTGGTACATTATTTTACATAGGTCAAATCACTCGCAATAAAAAGGAAGGCATTGTTTCGCGCAAGTGAAATCCATGTTAAATAGTCTAACGACAATAGGGTTCGTACTCTAGTGTGCTCCCTTTCACGCTTTCGAAATTGATGTCGTGGTATGAATATATAGTTGATTGTGTGTTGATTAAGTTCTTTTAATGATGGCTTCTTTATAATAATTTCCACACACCTGTTACACTAACTTTACAACAGAGTCAACATAATGATCGCATGCTCTGCTACACTCCAAATACCCAGGTGTGCTACAACACATCAAAATGGTGCGATCATTGCACCTTTTAATTTAACGTAAATGCAAAAACCATTTTGTGTTCGGAAAACAAGAAAATTACCCACTATAAGTGCATCAAAAAAGCTAATACTCTGCTTTCGTCACATGAATGGCTGTAAAGTATAAAAATATGTGTAATTTATATTTCAATGTAGTTCTAATAAATATTTTGAAGTACAGTAGATTTTTAAAATATACACTATATACTATATGTATTTTGCAATCTTGCAATATACTTGAGTGTCACATTACTGTATGTATGTAGATTGTTGATGATGTAACAGAGTATTTGTTGGCTGCCTTTGTTAAAACTTAACTGGTAGAAGCAACCGTAACAACGTGTTGCAAATTTAATTAATAAAGGTTTTTAATTCAAAATGGATAACATTCCTTATCCTCGGTTTTCTTTCCGCAACAAGCTACTAGCGATTTGATTTTCACTGGGACAAATTCCTAGGAAACAAATAGAATCAAGGGAAATTGCTTTGAAATTAGGACTTAAAATATCGATATATTTGATTCACGTGTGCATTATTAAAGAATATTACAACAACGTTGCCTTACGTGATTCCTATTCAGGCCTAGGGTCTTCCTATCAGTAGTCACATAGTCTAGAAATGTTTGTTGATGTTGTTTGTTACAACGATCTACCAGCAAATTCAAGAAAGTTTATGCAAATTTGACAACAAAGAAAACGACAAAACATTTTTGAAATTTATTGTAGGTATCAGATTTCATCATATTTCAGTGGCGTATTTTAATATATTTGCTATTTGTTCTCAAACGCAATATGTGAAAATGACTTATCTTGGGCCGGCATATGCTATAGGGGTGAGAAAAAAGTTTTCAGCTAAGAGTTTGTTTTAGGAACGCCTGTATAAAAGCATTACATACAAAAAGATTTCAAGGTCAGTACGTTTTTATGCAAATTTGTATAAACTTTAATTGAAAGATGGAAACACCATACGTTGGACCTTGTAACAGAATAAGCATGTTTCCTTGCATGTGTGACACACAGACATTCCGGTGGAGTTCTATATTTGTGCAAAATAAAATGATAAACTTTATCCAACATTCCACAACGTGGTTTCACGGAATCACATTCTGACGATGCATTTGAACTATTAATCATGAAAGCATATTACAGTATCTGGTGACACTGCTCAGTATCTTTTCCTGCATTTGCGGAAAATGACAGTGAAATTTTGCGACATAGTGGAACATTGATGAAAGCAAGCATAAACATTATCAACAAAATTTGAAACATTTACTCCTTCCTTAATTAACTTGGACGACATGCAGAACAATACGTATTCTTCATTCGTGTGCACTCTGAGCGAACAACGAAATTAGGAAAATAAATTAATGGATAAAAAAACAAGTTATAAAGATTAACACCTTCAGCTGACTATTTCCAACGGAGTATAGTTTTTGCCATGTCATTCTCGTTCAATAAAAACTGTAAAATGGGCTGTTATTCAAGAATTCGAATTACATTAAACAGACGCGTAACATTGGAAAGGAAACGAGACGGGTTAAATAAGTGTGGTATTCCAAATATCTGTACGCTCCATGCAACCGAGGATTAATCCTGGATTGAAAAACTAAATGTGAATAATTGTTGTATTCGTTGGAGAAATATAAAACACCTACCACAAGCATCAAGTGTTGGTTCCTGATTTACAAGTTTAACCAGCAAAATCCAAACGTTTACTTTATGGAAAGAATTAAAGTTTTATTTTGGTGTAACACTTGTTATTAATGGCACCAGCTATAGGTCATCTATGCTGGTTTGAAATATTGAAAATTTCAGTCTTATTCACGCAGTTTCGAAGGTTGCCATATCAGGTGCTTCGAAATCTTGAAAAAACATAAAACAATCATTCACATGAGACACGAATGTGTATGGTTCAATTTCGGTGTTGCTTGTACAAATGAAATTTGTCAACGGAAACCAAATATCAGAAGAACTACAATTATAGGACTCTGCAAAAGTGCACGAAAAAAATTTTACAGTCCACAAGATAGTACAAGGACGTTGTCCGAAAGTTGGTGAAGGTATAGATGACTAAGAACATATTATGCATGTATCAAATTTATACTAAATTTTAGAAACATCAAGTTTACAAGTAATAATCGTTTAACATTCTACCATTTTATTGACCTGTCTTCTTAAATAATCAATATTACTAGAATAAAGTGCGAGAAATGTTAGAATTTTCAAGAGCTGCTCAAACTTTAAGATATCGTGTAAAACAAAATGTTGGTAGAATTTTTGTCAATTAAATAACCGTTACCATCTTCAAAGATGTGTCCACAACGTTGAACCAAAGTTTTAGTAATTCAAAAGTGTAGTTTTGTGTGCGTTCAGCCATTCGTCTCGCACCTCTGATATTCTGACGCCTCTCAAACAATATGTTATTTTATATATATTCTAATGTCTCTTATTGTAAGAAGTTAATATAAATGTTATGAAAATGAAATTCGAAATGAACAAAAAAACTTAAATCGTATATAAAAAATAGAACGCTTTTGTAGTTGTAATGCAAGTTTTAAACGTGTACATGCGCGTATGTATTTCATATTGTTAAATATATGCAGTTAAAAGGTCAAAGAGTGAGGTGTTGATAATTTACAGTGTACGTGAATGGACGAGCTATGGAGCAGGTATAGAGAACGCACTGTCAATTTTTTGGAGTTGATTCAAATATAAAAGAGTGATTTTGTCGCCGTTTTTGGAATTGATTCAACACTTTTGGAATTGATCCAACCCCTTGAAATTTATATTGTGGTTGCGTTCATATGCTCAGCTAATCATGCACGAACAATTTAATTTGGAGCTATATATTTATTCTCTAGGCCACTGATACACTATCTACAGTTAATTTATTCATGAAATCATTATTAACTTGAATTAATTAATAACTTGGCAAATGGGTATCGTAATGAAGTGAAGCTAACGCACTGTCTTCGATTGGCGAATTTAAATAAAAAGACCATTCCATGACAGTGATTTGGCTTCAGGTTGAAGCATCTTCATACTTTATAGAAAGGTATTTCGCGTGTTAAATCTTCGTTTTTCTATTTTAAGAAAAGACATCATCCAATTCATTCGCGTGTTGAATTATAGACTTTACTCGTTTCTCCAAGCGAGGAAAAGTCACACTAGTTCGGCTGGTGGGACCAATTTAGTTGTCACGATTCCTCCCGACTTAACCCTATCCGACTCTGAGAGATCTATCCTGGTAGAAGGTCTAAATTTTGTTCCCCGCCCTTGGTCCTTTGATTTTTTTTTACTTAAAACAGATACCGAATCTTTTCCAAACGACTGCGTCTGAAAGCACATTTTCACAATTAATCCTCGGTCCCTCACATGGACGTTTTTGAGACCGTCAATGCTAAGAATCTTCCTGGTCTCCTTCAGAGGACCAATGTGGTTCCCTTGAACTATTTATGATATAAAACATGCAGCTCCCCAAGTTTAGGCCCAAAACACCACCAAACCTCACTGACATTGAATTTAGTGCCCTTCAATCACTTCGTGCTCCGGATGACATTGTTATCAAACCTGCTGATAATCGGGGGGTGCCTTGGTAGTTTGCAAGGCCGATTTATATCGTACTGAAGCCCACCGGAAATAGGATGACACCACTTTTAAAGCATGGTTGACAAGGACTTGACTTCCACTCATCAAACCACCATTTCTATAAGACCATTCATAGCTTTATCGCCACTTACCAGTGATCTCCCTGAGACTGCCAAAAAACATCCACCACACCTCACACACCTGTCATGAACTTCTTTCTAAAAATTCACAAACCTGACAACATAGCTCGATTTTTATTCCTAGCGCATTGGTACTCCTTAGTTTTTAAAATGAATTACACGAAGCCCTGGTTTCTGAAAGGCGGAATTCATTCAATAACCTGAAACTACGACGATGGCATACACAAACACTAGAATCAACTTCAACATTCCTTAGTCCTATAATTCTTTATTTCAAAACAAGTCAGACGTATACCCACATACCGTGCTTTAAGTACGACAGGATTCGTGCAAAACTTGAAAGGCCTTGAATGTCCTTGAATTTGTTAAGAAATACTTGAAAGTCTTTAAATTTTTCTTGTTTAGTTTTTGGATGTTTCCTGAAATTGTTTGACATTCAAAACGGACATTTTGTTCAATTGATTTTGCATGTTCATGTGTGACAAAGTTGTTTGAAACTCATTAAGTTGTGTTTTGAACAATTCAACGTCAGATTTTACTGATTTCTAATCCTTTTTCTTCAGTATTTAGTTCTTGAATTTGCTGATACATGCATGACCTTGAATGTGCATGAAAATTCCTTGAATTTGACTCTTCCTCACATGTACGAACCCTGCACGACTTAATTTAAATAAAAACTTTGAAACGTTTTGACTTTTAATGACAATTACGCGGTTTTGTTATAAAGTCATATGGTACCATGCAGCAAAGTGTAAGTATTCGAGAATTCCGCTTACCGACGTGTTACTTGGTTAAAAACAATGATGTACTATAGGCCGTATTATTGGCGTATACTTCTGGTAACGCGACTTATTGCACCCTGCAACGTTGAGTGTGATACATTGCCCCGGATACAAACTCTCGTGATATAAGGCATCAACCACAGAACGCGTGTTTTGCGCATTATTCATTCTTTGCATATCTGCAGTTTTATATACCACATATACGGTCAATATGTGCCACCCTGCTGCAAATACAGTGTTTCTTTATTTGTGCCATTCTGCTTGTTTCATCTCCACAAGATTATCAGCAACCTACAATATTTCAAAAGTACATGTTTTGGTTATATACCACGGCAAATTTCTTGCAACAAAGGTGACTGCGCACCACCGCAGTCAAATTTAGATTAGAGAATGTGCAAGTGAAAAAATGGCTGGAAAAATTTCTGGGGAAATTTTTACTTTTACTATAAGGAAACGGCTGAGAGTTTAAGGTACGGAGTTTCACCGCTTTGTCCCTGTGTAAAACGAAGTTATACTGCATAATACTAGTGCCAGTCTTTCAAGTATACAGGCATTAAATACGCGGACGTTTGACAGCGGTGTTACATCGCTCTAGATCTTTGTCTGGACACCTTGACAACCCAGTTGCATGCAGGATTTTTGGTGCGGTTTTGGTAAATATATTTGCCGAACGCGAAAGAATATTCCACAGGTTCAATTTTTACGACATGGCTTTGTAACCAGCTCCGTTTCAAGGTGAAAAGAAAGAACTAACTCCTTCACCCAGAGCTGCTGCAAATTAATCGTTTGATCGACAATTTTTGGGGTTTTTTTCCCGCAATCGAACAATCGGATCATTCATATCAGTCCTGCACAACATGATTGATTCATTTTTAGATATCTGGTAGCGCTTATAACATGTTGAGTCATTTAGTCTGCATGATGTCTTTTAAAATTTATTTTCATTCATACATAAACTAAGCACCGTTATTTTCTTGCCATCTGTGGGCCACCTCTAAGTGTATAAGGCACGGTGAACTTGCATGCAAACTTTGTAGTTACGGTTGCTACGTCCCACAAGCCGTTTTGGTTTTGCGTGAAAAAATTGATTTACAATTTACGCCAAATTATATTCCCGTGATTTTCGCCTATTTCATATTACAATAAACTCCTTTAAACTCAATTCAGCAGCAAACCCGACAGAATTAATTGGATTTTCAAACTTTTTAACGTTAAAAAATTATGCTTAACTTCTTTGGGAATTAAATTAATTTGATTAGCACAAATACTGGACAACATAATTATACGTTAAAGTAGAACACTGTTACAATGCATATAAACAATCTCGTAATAATAAACACGTCAAAGATTAGAAGTTGTGCGTTTTGACCTTCCGAGAACAACTTGATTGAATTAGCTGCGCATACTTACTGTCGTTCCAATTGAAGTGTTCCTCAAATATTGATTCAATACATTACCTCGGGCTGACCAATTCATTTGATCAAGTTCCTCGAGATATTCATATACTTCCTAGTATAATTGTAAACTTCCTGTTGAATAGTTTGAATGCACCAATCACCTTTGTTGTTTGTGCAACTAACCAATCATAAATAAAAAGGAAGTGATCAGAAATGATCAAATACTTGGAATTGGCTCTTTCACAGGAAGTGTATGAATATCTCGAGGAACTTGATGAAATGAATTGGTCAGCCTGAGGTAATGTATTGAATCAATATTTGAGGAACACTTCAATTGGAACGACAGTAAATATTATATAGGTCTAGTACAGTATGATAAAGCTATGATATGATTTACTGCATTTTGGCAACTCGCTTAAAAATTATACTGCCGCATGGTATACATTCATTTGCAAGTATTTTCGGAAAAATATCCCGTAAAATATGCACGAGTGTTTTGTTATTCTCACACAAATTAAATAACGACATAATTATTTGCTACTTAAAGACATGCATATGCAAGTAACGAAATTATAAATGCTTTGCATGCATCGAAGGGTATATGCATGAAAGACAAAGTCTCTAAAAAGTAGATGCATGAATATTTTGGGCATACGATATAATCTATTTAATTCTAGTTTACTCACAATTTAAAATAAGAAGGTTTCCACCCTTTGGTGAAGATGAAATTCCAGGATTTTTCGAAGATTTCTAAGGACATTTTTCAGTAATTCAAGGAGTTAAAGCTCGAACAATCTTTTGAAAGTGACACGCGTTTTGCTATGAAACACTACTATTCATTCAAACGCAAGGACCTGCATTAATTTTCAAGTACTTTCCACGCCTTTGTTTATTATTTTCAAATTCAAGGACTTTCCAGGATTTTCAAGGCCCGTGGACGAGCTGCATGGCTAAACGGGTTGGGTTCAAACGTTCCTGTACCAAACGTATAAAGTTAAAAGATTTCGATAAAAATGAAAGAAAATTAACATAGTTTGAGAAATTCGTGTTTTATCCATTAACGATAATTAAGTGCTGTAGCTATTCCAAAGAAGACTAAACAAACCTTTTCATGCTCAGTGAGATGGAGTCCACGCATCGCTCACCAGTCAATGGTAACGTACATTCCTCAAGTATTTTGTGCTTTCCACCCTATACAGTAACAAGATAAGTCAAATTTAAAGGTAGCATAGCAGGAATTCTAACAAATGCGTACAGTATTCTACAAAACAATTCGTAAAAATCCAGTGGATTTTAGTTTTGAGTAGGTAGCCAATTTTCGAATGAAGCTTACTTAGGCCATGCTGGCGCAGCCATTAACTCGCGGCTTATAGATAGCAACAATCCTCGCCAAAATCCTTGGCGCACGTAGCAAAAATAGCAAAATCTGATTGCCATATACATCCTTGCGCATTTTATTCACGATTTCATGTTCAGACAAACCCCCCCCCCCTCCCCCTGCCCACACACACATCTTGCAAGTCTAACACACATTGAATTGGAAGACGGGGGAGGTACTGTGCTTGTTATTATAGCGGGAGTCAAATTTCGCACTGTCAGTGTCAAGTGCGCCAATATTTTTGACCAGGATTGTATAGTAGCTTCTTATAAATTGTGGAATGGTATGGTAGTCAAGTATCACCCGGCTTAGATAGCACTTCCACTGACTCGTTCCCAGTCGCTCGCGTTGGAGATGGGAATGGGTAACCCGCGAACGGGCATGTTTTCCGGTACTATAAACTCAAATATAACGAGGGACTGTGGAAGAGTCAGGCACCTCCATATGCTTTTTCGAGTTGTCAACCAGTAACTCTAGGTTTCGATACTATAGCTGGGCACAACTTTTAGAGTTGTTCGCCAATAAACATCCAAGATTACATATCTAGCCCCAATTGATCTATACGAGGGATAATATTTATCATTTATTATATGGCAAACATTTGTTTTGATGAACCGCGTAATTTGATTGGCTGCTGACGTAGCAGGATTTTCCCGTATTGCCCACAGGCAATACGCATGTTTTATTGCGCTATGGAGCGGCGACAGAGCCGTGTTTCAAACAGCAAAGACTGCTAAAAGTCTTTCAAACTATTCAAAACGAAGACCAATAGACCTAAAATAGATAAAAGGAGCATGCTGTGGTTAAAGAACTTTCTCAATACGTTTTTTTTAGTGGAAGTCGAATTTACAAAGCAAATTTTACAATGTGTTTAACTACTAAAGCAATGTGTTTAACTATTAAATTCCCGTACTGCCTTCACTCTCGGTCAGTAATTTATTATTATAGATCTGGAGCGAGGGGGATTCGGCGAAATATTACCCGAAGTGATGATATTTAACCCCGAGGGAAATATAATCAGCAAGGGTAATATTTTTCTCAATCCCTCGAGCGAAGGGTCTATAAATGATATATCATACCGCAAATTGGCATATAAAACGTGCCACATACACCTTCGTGAATACGATGTTCTATTTTTTGATTGACGCAAGTATAGTCGCTTTTCTTTCACATCCCATATCGTTTGAAATATTAATATTTTTAAAAATAGTTGCTTCAAAAATTTTCAAATTGGCTCGATTATTTTTAAGTTTAATACTTATACTGATTATACTGAACTTATAGTGATTCATCACTCTCAGTATACTGAGTTTTGTCGGCCATCTTGTTCATGTCACCCAAGTGACATCATCAAATCGGCATGTAACATGATTCAAGTCACCCACTTACGTCAAATACGGTGACGTAAGGCGCGATTCGATAAATTTCATGCTCACATGGCGCGAACTTGGATTTCTGATTGGACACTTTGAGGTATAAGTTTAAAAAATAGAAAATATTTGTGTTTCTATAGAGTTATAGAGATACGCGTGGAAGTTTGGGAGAAACGAGAAATTGCGTTGGAGTAAACTAGAGTAAAGTACAGAGTAAAGTAAAAACCTTGGCCGTATGCTCCATCGTAACGACAACTTTAGTTCCCAGACATGAAACTAAGTCCATAGCCCCTCCCATTCCTTTTACCATTTTGCCCTAAAACAAAATAAAGCATAACAGAGATCAATGTATATTTGATCAATGTATGTGTGAGAAAGGATTAACTTTCTCAAAAGAAGTTTCTCCTATATGGAGCAGCTCAAGGGTGGAACGAATTACCGTGTGAAATAACTGATGATTTTTGTAATTTTAAAAGTATTATTCTGGCAGTTCATAAAACACCTTCTAAATTGTCACCCTATGAAATCAAGCAGCATTTTAAGCTTTCCATTTTTGTTCGCCAACCATTTTTTAAATGTTTTGCACCTTGTAGTCCATAGTTATTTTGTTAGTATAGTTTGAGTGTTTTTTAAATAGTGTCTAACACGGCCCTTTGAAAATCAGACTGTATATATATTATACTGAAATATTTTTTGTGTGTGTTTTGATGTTATGTACTCCCACCGTGGTCAGGCTAACTTTTTAGCTTGCCAGGTGTGGATATATACACTCAGAGCAACATCAAAAACATTATACTGAAATGTTATACCATATCTAAAGAATTTTAATTCAAGATTACTATATTGGGCGTTGGAAATTGGTTAAACCGGCTTGACGTCATCACAGTATCTTGTCCGGTCATGCATGCATGCCCGAGCCAGTAGGTCCAAGCATAGGCAGCCCAGCAAATATATGTATTCACTTACTTAAAAATGCAGCGTTAAAAAGACTTAAAAATGCGTAGCTCATTATGTATGCAGACTTGCATAGTTTACGCCATTGTATTGTCAGATAGTATAATATTCTAAGGCTGGCAACTCTTTGACATAATACATTTACACAAATTAATACGTTCGCTTGAAACAACAAAAATAACGCAAGTTTCCGAAAAAACCCAGATTCAAAACACCTTTATTAATAATACTCTTTTTAAAGTTGAAACAAGTTTAAAAGTGCTTAAATTTCTTCTAAATTATCGAAATGTTGCTGTAGATGTCGAAATGTCGACAAACGTCATCATCGGAAAAACCATCGGCTTATTATTGGCAGCTCGGAAATCGGAACATTGCGAATATAACGTCCTACAGTCAATGAACTTTCATTGGAATATTCCGATTTCTCAGCAGCCAATAAGCAATAAGCCGATGATCTACTGCAACCGGCCCGTGCATTTTGAAGAAGTTCCAATAATTATTGCAGTTTAAAGTGAGATGTCAGACGAGTACAACTTATTTTGCGGCATATAACATGATTCTCTCAGTTTTGTATGAAGGAAAAATTTGCCGTCCTATTTGCGGGATAGTCTGTTTTGTGATTATTTCATTTCCGAAAAAAAAAATGCGAGAAAGTTGAAGTGCACATGGTGGCTTGCGGAACAGCCGTTTGTTGGAGGACGAGAGTATACCACGCCATTTCTCTTCCTGGCAGCAAAATCCAACAATAAAAATTCCATGTGGAAGTAAAAAAAATCCCTACATATGTAGATTTCAGAGAATGTATTGTGTGCAGCACATTGTGATAAATTTCGGCACAAAAACGGTTTTGTATTTTTTAAACGATCAATAAAATTATATGGCATCCAAGACGACAAAAGTTTCCGGCAAGGTTAATAATTTGGTGAATAATAATTCCCTGCAGCGGTACTGCTTGCGTTACCTTACATTTTGTAGCACTGGGGAGTATACTGCTGAGAGTGTTAAACGCTGCAACTTATCGCGAAGGTAGAAGCTGGTTCCACTTTCTCTGGAACTTGCAATGCAATTTTCCATTGCAACACCATGCCGTTGCAAATTAATCTAACACAAGATGCAGCAAAAATTGTCTTAATTACAATTAAGAAAATCAAGCGACTTTATAATCGACCGCATAGCCAGGTGATCTCGTGTTCGTATTTTAGCCAGTCAGCGCTCAGAAAGGGTTGTCCGAATAGAAATCCATTTTGATGCATTCAGTCAATTATATCTTTCGTTATTCTTTATGAAACTAGTTGAAATTTTGTAATTATGTTTGGTAATGAGAACTCTAGCTCTGACAAAAATATGGAATCGAAATAAAGTATATTACAGGAGATATTAAAGCTAGATTACAGTCCCTTCTGCGCATGTGTCAAAAATGTAAACAAATGTGAGCACACTTGTTTTGATTTTGTGTGCTCCCCAGTCCTTATTCGGATATGCGCGCTCAAAATGGCCGACTCGCAAGAGTTCTATAATAGAGCCGTCCACTTCAAAGACAAATCCTTCTAATGCTGGTCGCCAAAACCAACCAGGAAATCGAAAAAAAAACATTTCGCGAAAAGGTATGCAACGAAAATGTACTTTAATGATACTATTGGTCGGTGAAATCATTTCAAAACTGAAGCTGGAATTAAAAGTGACGAGGGTTCGCGAATACTATGCTGATCGAGCCTGTATACGAAACATCAAGACGGATTTAATTGTGGTAAGCACATAACACATATCCCTGGATATTTCAGTTATGTTAATGTTGTTATATTTCCTGATTACAAAACTTTATTGTGCACTTATAGCGCTGTGGAAACCCAGACGGATCAGCAGCCAGATGAAACAATACAATGCAGACATGAGCCATTGCCAGTATATGTTCAGCAAGGGGAAACAGCAATGGAGCCATATAAAGATTCTTAAAGATTCTCCTAAACAGTACAAATACATCCTACAACTTATAATGAAGGTATGTATAACATTTTATGCTTTCCTGAATCCTAGTGAGAAAAAAGTGACTTTTAGTTTTCATTATGAAATTCCATATTCTTTATATCACCTTTTCAAACATAAATATTTTGATCATTCTGTAGGCATGTTAAGGGCACAGTAGCACCTGCTGATTGATGTGTTTTAAGAGCACTTAAATGGCTTTTTGGAAAGCCAAATTTTGATTTGCATGAACATTAACAAAATCAAAATACGTGGCTTGAAAAAAGCCATTCATGTGTTTTTAAAACATATTGGTCAGCAGGCACTAATGTGCATTTAAACAGGAATAAAACTAATTATAAGTCTTCTTTAGGTATGGGGATTGGTGTTGCAAGTGATGACCGAAGGCAAATTGCTCCTAACATAACCCCTGTCCCTCCTCCTTCAGTCAAAGAACTTGTTGAAACCCATCAGTCTAGATTCAACTGATCACTGTAGACAAGTGTCTGGCACTTAAAACAAAGTGCTCTGGTTAGGTGGAGCTTGTAATCCCTGAAAGGCAGTCCACCTAGGAGAAGGAACTCTGATTACAAACTCCCGGACCCAAATAGTGAGTCAGGCTGTCCATATTGGATTCATTGATCTTCGGTGCACAGCAATACACTTTTCAGGACTGAAGTAAGGAGCAAGGAGTAATTTTAAAGAATAAAAAAATCAATGTCAATACAAAATGTTGTGCTTGAACATCCAATGTATTTGATAACTGGTCTTTTATATAATGAAATATTACTGTTCATAAACATTTAACCATTAACATGATAAAGGCTTTCATTTGTTAGCAAAATTTGCTGTGGTTAGTAGACAGAGAAAGCTTATAATAAGTTTGAAGCAATTTTGAACTGCAATTTTCTTCTTTTGGTGTATGTGTTAGAGTAAATAATCAAGCCATGCAAAGTAATGTTTCCTGTAATTTTGCTGAAACACAAATGCCAAAAGGAGAAAATCAAAGTTTAAAATCGCTTGTGTGAACGGGCCTTAACAGGTGTGAATTACCCAAGTTCTTTCAAAATATTTAAAATGATCCTCCCTGTCATGGGGAGATAATTGCAGTAAAATGGATTAATGAATAATAAAGTTTCCCTCAATGATCAATAACATAATAA